AGAGAGAGGGGGGGTGAGGAGTGTGTGTGTGTGTGTGTGTGTGTGTGTGTGTGTGTGTGTGTGTGTGTGTGTGTGTGTGTGTGTGTGTGTGTGTGTGTGGTTTTTTTAGTAATCCCCCACAAATCACCAAAATGGTGAGTCATCCCCATATCTAAGCAGAACCAAACAACAACAACAAAAACCCAGCAGGGGGGAAAAAAACCACACACACTACCACATATGCTTTATCATTTTGAAAAGGAAGAGTGGCTGCTTAAAATCTATCAACAATTAATTCCCACTTTCTATGAACCTTAAAGCATTTCACAGAGCCTAAGAGGCAACCAAAGGAGATCAACTGAAGGTGAGAATCCCCAATTATTATCTGAAGAAGAATGATCTCATATTATCACTGAGCCCCTGGCTATCCAAGGGGAACCAGCTCATAAAAGAAGTCTCCCTCTACAAATCTCTTTCTGTCTTACATACACCACTACACTCATGTATCAACGGATGATATCTCCAGTGGAGAACCTTCTCTGTTTGCAAAATGCAGGATTCTAAATCATGCCAACATTTAGTAATAAACGTTTGTGATCTCCACTGTGCATTTAGCTTGACTCTGTGCTTCAGTATCCGAATCATATATATGAGTGCAAAAAAGCCAAGCCATAAAGTGGCTTGGGACAGTGTAAATGTGGGGGGAAGGGAAGCATCAGTAACACTGCATCCTTTCCCCATGGTTAGTAAGAGTGGCCCATTATGCTCTAATGATTTATAGTAAGAAAATCAGGAGCAAGAGGATATATACTGCTACCAAAAGGATAGCTGCATAATTATCGTCAGGATCATTAGTCAGTCTAACCTGGAAGATACCCTCTTCCCCACTGTTTAGATATGATTAAAACTAGGCATGGGTACTGCCTTTGGACAAAAGTGAAAAAACAGACCAAATCAGGATTATTTGAACCATTTGGGGGTTACTATGGGGCCAAAGAAAGAGCTACTGTTCATCCCTGAGATGGAGCAACACCCTTCTTACTCTTTTTGACATTTATTGGATTAAAAACATGTCTGTAATTTCAAATGAAGAAAGGGGAAGTCAAAAATCAGTACCTAGCACTGAGTACCTGGTGCCAGAGCAGAATCCCCCAATGAAGTCCAAGAGATTCCCTGGATACTCCAGCCATAGAGGCACAAGGGAGGGCTCAGATGAGCTCCGCAAGCACTATGTATTCTCCTGTAGCTACTATGCCAGCCATTCCATGAAGCTACAAGACATTTTGTGAAATTGTGTTTTGAACAGTCTCTTTTTAACATCTTCTCTCATTCAGTTTGGCTTACCAAATTTGCTGAAATATTGTTATTCTGTTAGGATTGAATGTGAGTCTGGTTACGAAAAGATAATTGCTATATGTGCATTGAGTGGGGTCATACCTTAACTAACCTATATGGCTTCTCAGTTCACCATCATTTGAATTCTCCACCCCCCCCACACACACACACACACGTGTCATGGAATTTCTTTCTGCCTTTCTTTCTTTCTTTCTTTCTTTCAAACTGGAAACTGCTAGATAATGTCATAGACCCATGGAGTGGGTCAGACTGATTCTTAAAGGGTGCAGGGTGGGTTCATCCCGATTGATGCAGCCCGTATTCTGGTACATAGTAAGTTGGGGGCGGGGCATGCAAACATGTCCCATTAAAACAACTACTAACAATTTTTCTATCTACACATACTGTATGTCAATAGATATTTCACACAATATCCAACACCTGTCTCTGATGATGGCAACATGAGGTACTTAGCTGAGATCTGCTCATTTAACATAAAAGGAATAAGGCAGGGTTTGAAAGCAAGGAGAAGTAACAAGATTGGTGCTCCATTGTTTACTATCTGGCCGTATGGTTCTGATACATAAAAGGTAGATAGAGAGGGAGGGTTTTGTGGCAGCTGCCTGTCCTGCAACCTACAGTACATTGTCTTCCAGGAATGGACGAGAAGAATTTGGAACCCTTCCTTGCCAATCTGGGAACAACTGATCACAGACAGGCTAGACTGGGTTTTAGCGGTTGTTCTTGTTTGGCATAGAGACAACCTATCTTTGGTCTCGTCAATACTGTTTCCTTTGCCCTGTGCCCTGGAAGAGGCTTGAGCTGTAGATAGTACCATGTCAAAACAGTAGGGCTGCCAGGATCTTGCTGGGAAAGCTAACACCTCACTTTTTGATGACACTGAAGGGGATTGTTGTGACTAGTGGCGTGGATGACAGGCTGAAATGATGGTGCCATGCTAGGACCAAGACAGGGACACCTACAACCCCATAACTATAGGCCACAAAACATAGGCTAAACCTAGCTCTAGCTTTTTAATCCTTAGTCTTTCTCAAGGTTGTTAAATGTGGAAAGAGACATCCTCCTGATCTAGTTGGGGAAGAATCATCATTATAACCTTTTCATCATCCCCTGATAATTTTACCAAGATCTCTTGAGAATCCTCTTGACATGTTGCATTTATTTTTCACCAAAACCATCAGTTATAAATCGTATTCATCATCTTGAAATGAAGGCAATTTCTTTTCTAATCAGCATCCTACTACTCTGACATTCGTGATGGCGAGAGCCCAGTATCCCAACGAGGCAAAGAGCTCTTCTTACTGCTTTTTACAGAAGCCAGAACAATAAAGCCAATAGTCTGTTCAGATAATAAGCCAAATAAGATTCTACACTCCACCAACGCCCCATCCCTTTGGCTAGGCTTCCTTGCCTCAGATGACTGGAGAACCATAACATAAAGATCTTTCAAGAATAGCAAAGGCAGAGAAAGGGCTATGGTTAAGTGATATACGTCAGGCCTGCGACTTGAGCATGGTGTATGTTACTCTAGCCACTGCTGGCTGTTTATTATGTTTGTCTGGTTGCCTGGGGAACCAGCTCAGGACGTTTCACTCATTTTATAACGTTCCTGTAAATGTTAGGTAGGGCCGGGATTTATTATGCACTGTCAACACCTCAAATGGAACGCACTGCTGAGCTCCACTTACTTGGCACCGTGCCCTTGCTCAATCCCTTCTCTTTAAAAAAAAAAAGGGCAGAAAAAGAAGAAGAGGGAAAGGAAAAACAAAAGTCAAGAAAACCTTTTGCGTTCAGATTCCGATGTCTGGGTATGTTTCTGTTTGTGTGTTTACTGCTCTCCAACCATACATAAAAGTGGTGACCTTCTGAATGGAGACGTTTGCCAGGGGAGGATTGCTGCAGAAACGGGACAATGTTTATGTCAAGGGAACAAGTGAGTTAGCAAGTAACTAACCTAGCCGACTACTCTTGGGTGGAATCTGTGACTTGTTATTTATAAGAGGTAAATTTGGAAGGGGGAAAGGTGGGGACATGTTTACTGAGAATGTTTCTCATCTCCACACAGTATGACCCCATCGTCATCAGCCTAACAGCTTCCGTTGCGTTAAGATGAGTAATGAAACTTATTAAGGCTGGAGCGTGCTGGTTTTCTTTTCCTTCATCTGTCCCAGCATGACGGGGCATATTTGACTGCAAAAATTAGCTGACATTAGGCACAATAGGTTTCTTTGGAAGAATGGGATTCAACCCAGATAAATATAGAAACAGAGTAATGGGATCAGAACCTTTGTCTTAGGAAATTCACTTGAGGTTTTGACAAGAGTAAGCAGCAACCTGCTAGTTTATTTATTTATTTACACAATTTCTAGGACGGAATATTGCGTTCTAAGATTTCTGACAGCAGCTACATACTACTCTTTTTTCTCTCTCTCTGTATTGCTGATGTGTCCATTTTTGTTTGATTTTTTTATTTTTGGGGAGAAAGCCTGTTAATAATCTGTTCAAGGTTTCAGTTTTAATAAAGTTTTTGTTTGTGTTTATGGTTGATACTATTATAGTAATTTTGTGTTATTTTTATACTCCCATGAGAATATCTAGTTTGTTCATTTGTTCTTTATAATCTTGAATTATCAGAATCAGTGTTCCAATAATATGCAAAGCAACATTAGCCTTCCATCTAAGTTTGCATGCATAATTCGCTGCATAGCAGATTATAACACATATTATATGTTTTATTTTTGTTAGATGTTGGCATGTTTGTTAAAGGTAAAAGGTAAGTAAATAGACAGGTGTGTGCTCACACATGCTTTTTAGTTAGAAAAAAATCTGTAGCCACACAGGCATTTTGTCAGTGTAACTGTCACTATGTAAGGCAACCCCAGTGGTAAGGCTGTGTCAGCAAAATCACAGCTGCTCTTTTTAATTGCCTCCTAATTTGCCCGTGGAGCTGGCTAATTTGAACAGTTCACTTCTAGGATCCTGTGAGGTCTCCAAGGCTAATTGATTTTGTCTTGCTTAATCAGCACCGCCATAAGCAGAGCCCATTTGTGCTGGCTGCTTTCTAAGCTCAGTTCTGGCATTAGGTGACAGAATGGAAAGAAAACACACACATTGAAGGATGATGGTGGGGAGTCACCCACAGCACTTGTTGGCCAAAATCTGATTAGAACTGCAGGAAGCCAAGGCTCAGTGCTGAAAGGTGAGATTCTACTATGTATTATTTAAATATAGCTTTATGGCCTCCAAAATGTGTTATGGAGAGACCTCAAATGACTCTGCAAGGCCTAGGTATATTATATGCATGAAACATTCAAAAAAAACCCAAACTTTCAGGCTTGGACTAGTGTTTTAAGATGTGGGTTCAAGATTTATACGATCTGAAGAGAAACCAGAGTTTAAGAAGATCCCGAGGGAACAGAGACTCTGCCCCTGTGGATCTGGTGAGATAGAATCCATTGAGCATATGATGCTCAGATGTAGCAGGCATAACAAGATTCGAGGAAAATATATTACACCCCTCTTAAAAGACATGACAAGCCAGTCAGACTCGGACTACTGTAACAGATTGTTAATTGATCAAAATCGGATTACTACAGAACTGGTAGCGAAATTTTGGGCGGCATGCCATAGTAGGCAGAATAGATAGCCAAACTTAGACATTGGTCTTACATTGTCATATTTGTAGTTTTAGTGTCTTTTGCTTATTTGACTTGGCTTTTTATAGTATATGTCAGTACTTGAAGCTCTGCATTTAATTTTGTTTTATTTATATGGCTCGATGCTGTAACAATAAAAGTATTTTGATTTTTTTTATGTCGGTTCAAAACACTTTCTTTTCTTGTATTTGGTGTCAAGATAAGATATAATGTAAAAAAAAAATCTTCCATGAACACTAACAGAACTGCTGGGTAGCTCAGTGGTTGAGGTACAGTATGTGGCTGCCAGAGGTTGGATGTTTGATTCCCCACAGCACCTTCTCGACAGGCGCTGGACTCAATGATCTATAGGGTCTGTTCCAGACCTGCAGTCCTAGAATGATGATAACAAATCAAAATTTAGAAACAGCATTTCAATTGCTCTTTTCAAAATCAATACACAATATTATAATTGAAGAGACAGCCTGTTATTCTAGGATTCACTGCTTATTAATTTGGAAGTTATAGCAAAAGCAACAACCTTTTTGTGGTATTTATTCATTTATTTAAAATACCTTTACACCTGCCTCCTCCTAAGAAAGAACCCAAGGTAATGTACATTGACGACCCAGCCCAGAAATAAAGAGATGACACAGGTTGTTGGATTAAAACTTCGGCCACAACTTTATTCACTATTTAAACTAAGCCCCCCCCCATCTATAAGGGGGCCTGAAGTAATGCTTTATTTATCCAAATCCAGTGTAGCCTTCACCTCCATCAAACAATGAAGGGTAATTGCCTTCACCAAACCTTTTTAGGGACCACTCCCAATGGGGAGACTCACAAATTTGGTACAGGTGGCTCGTATAAAAAGGTCCAGCCACCCGCCACCCAGAAACGTCTTTCTTAATCTTTTCTCTAGCTTCATCATCCATACCCTTCACTGATTTCAAATTGCTTGCCATAGCAGATACCCTAAGACCCTGCACAGAGATCCTAAAACCAAACGTGAAGCCTTCCTGCAAATAACAAGCTGCTTCTCTATCTGGGTTGGATATCAACCAGCCAGCCAGTGTTGACAGGCTAATTGACTGGGGCCCTTTCACATCAGCAGATGGGTCAGGTGGCTGCTGTGTGGGACAAATCCTTCCTTGTTGCTACACCTTCCTGGGTGTCCCCTGAAACACGTGGCTGAACCGTGTGGCGCGCACCGCATATGGAACATTGGTGTTGGAATCTGCATGGTTTCTTGTTGCAGTTAAATTCCCAGTAAACCAGGCAGGGTTGGGCCACTGGGCCTGCAAGAGTGCAGGGAGTACTGTAATTGTTTGTTCTCTGAATCAAATGTCCACTATCAAAATGGTCATTCAGGTAGGGGCTAGAGGGGCTAATTAACTGCAACCACAAGCCGTGCTGAGGTACATCCCAACACATTTCGAAGTGTATCGCCACTCTCATACGGAATCACTCATCATAGAGCTAAATTCCTAGCCATTGCCCTTTTTCTTTCCAATTCACTTAACTTTGCCAGTATGGCACTATAATCTGGCCACTCCTCATGTTCAGATGAAGAAATCACTGGCAGAGGCTTTACGTTTTGCAGGCTGCTTGCCCTTACCTGAACCTTGTCCCTTTTTAGACCCCATGCTGTTCCCCCCCTTTTAAATTTATTCAATTATTATTATTATTTGTTTTTAATATGATTATTAGTATTATTGTCCACTCTCTCTCTCCCTCTCTCCCTCTCTCTATCTATCTATCTATCTATCTATCTATCTATCTATCTATCTATCTATCTATCTATCTATCTATCTATCTATCTATCTATCTATCTATCTATCTATCTATCTATCTATCTATCTATCTATTGCTGGGTAGCAGCCAATAGCCTGAGCTCAACAGGTGGCAGCCCACCCTTACAGAGAGGCTTGTGTCTATTCTTAGATATTAAATTCATTTTATCCTAGTTTATTTTCTTTATGTCAATTATTTATATTTTAATTACCCATACACCTATATTTTTATTATTTATTTATTTATTTTAACTCACCCTTTCTCCCTCCTTTTCTATTTCTATCTCTCACTCTCCCCTCACCTTACACTTTAAACTTTAATTCATCCCCATGGCTAACTGCCTTTCTCTTCTGCCCTGTTGTTACTTCCCTTCACTCTGTCAATATTATTCAAATTCCATACCAACTCTTCCTTTTCCAATTTATTTAATCATCATCATAATCATCATCAAAACACTGAATTTGCTGTGCTTGGGAGGGATCACCTTCCCTTCACCCTTCCCTTGTAAGAAAGGAAAAAACTCCAAAACATGGGATGTGCTGATGTGTGACCTGCATGTGGGGAAAGTGAAACCTCTTCCTACAGAATCACACAGATTCCCTCTTGCTCAGCCGATCGAAGCAGAGGCCAGGCGACAGGGATGCCGGCTCGTGAAGGCTCTGTCCCTCCCTAACAGCAGTATCGTCATGCTGTGACACCAATTTCTGGGCAGGCAAAGTGTCCCCATTGCGGCAGCTCCACGCCTAGCAGAGCAGACATAATTAAAAAGACAATATTAAAGCTAAAAACAGTGAATTATTTAAATATTAAATGAATTCATAACATTATATTAAGAATGTTAGGTAAAACATTACTAAAACAGAATTAGAAGCAACAAAAAAACTATCTCATTAAAAAACCTCTCCTAAATAGCCAGTCACTAAGGAAAAGCCTGCCTGAAGAGAAACATCTTCCCCTGCTTGTGGAAGGAAAGCAACGATCAGGCCAGCCTGGCAATGAGATCCAAAGTCTGGTAGCAGTGGCAGAGAAGGCCTTCCCCCATGTCCTCACCAAGCATACCTATGTGGGTGGTGAAAGAGACAACAAGGCCTCCTCTGATGATCTGAAGATAATAGAGTGTTGTCACTATCTGGTAAAACTATCTGGTATGATTTTCAGACAAATCATATTGGTAGATACTCCATACTTCTGACAGCCAGACAATGTAGTGACTGAATAATTTGTGCCACAAGCCAGGTACCCCCTTCCCTATTTAGAGAATAAAGTGTGCTGCTTATATACCGCCCCATAGCGCTTCAAGCACTCTCTGGGCGGTTTATAAGTTAATTATGCAGGCTACACATCCCCCCCCCCGAGAGCTGGGTACTCATTTTACCGACCTCAGGAGGATAGAAGGCTGCGTCAGCCTTGAGCCAGCTATCTGGGATTGAACCCCAGGTCGTGAACACAGTTTTGGCTGCAGTATAGCCATTTAACCACTGCGCCACGAGGCTCCTGGTGCTGTATTTCGCCATCCTTTGCATTTATGATATTATATGGATCAGGGGAACCATCTGGGAAGCAAATTAGTGAGCTCCTGGTTTTTATTTTTAATTTTTTGCATTTATTGGCTCCTTCTGTATATTGACTCACACTACCGGCCAACAGTTGGACACACCCCACAAAGAAATCATCAGTTTCATATACTCTTAAAGCAACAAGAGAACGACATTTAGTCCAATCATGTCCGACTCTAGGGCGCAGTGCTCATCCCTGTTTCCAAGCCATAGAGCCAGCGTTTGTCCGTAGACAGTTCCCATGGTCACGTGGCCAGCATGACACGGAATGGCATTAACTTCCCATGATGGTACCTATTTATCTACTCGCATTTACATGTTTTCGAACTGCTAGGTTGGCAGGAGCTGGGACAAGCAACGGGAGCTCACTCCGTTGTGTGGATTTGATCTTATGACTGCTGGTCTTCTGACCTTGCAGCACAGAGGCTTCTGCGGTTTAACCCGCAGCGCTACCACGCCCCTTGATCATGAGCTACTTGCTAAAGTTCTGCTTTGTTTTGTTTTTAGGAAAAGGTAGGAACAGGTCATAAGTCTGGGAAGATTTACAGGATTGTTTAAAAATATTTATCATTTTAAATGCAGCTGTGTTGCTGTCAACCGCAGATAGACTGGTAAACTACTTAGAAAGAGAAAGACACATTACATAAAACAATATATCCAGATAGGTTTAAAGAGCTTTTGTCATGCATGGCCTAACTTTGAAACATATTTTACCAAATCCTCATTTATTTTCTTTCTCCTTTTTTCTCTTTACTTCCTTTCCCATCATTTCTGCTCACCAAGGCCCTTGTG